CGACATGCACAACCTTTCAAAAGGCAGCAACAAAGCAGAGCTAATTGATTCATTAATATTAATTAACATTAAGCATTGTTTTTTTTATCAGATCACATGCATGATTTATTATGCATGACATATCACTAAACCTAAAAGTCTAAAAATCACTGTATATCTCTGTTTGAGTGACAGACTCATAATCAGCAGTCAGTCCCTGTTGACTCAGTGGTCCGCTGGGAGTCTGGCATTTACAATTTTGCTCTGTCTAATATTTGTTCCTGGATAGAGTATCATTTTCATAAAAATGTAATGTTGATGAGATCGAATGTTACATGTTGTCTTTGTGACATATATGTTTGCAGATTCCTTTGAATGAGACATACACTTTTAGAGAAAAAAAAAAGGTTCAATGTGGGTTTCTTGATTCATTTTTAAAGAACCCTTTATTCCCTTGCAACATAATGTAATGTTTAAAGAAAGTATAGTTTCATGTCTGGTAAAAATATTTGAGCTGCATGGGACATTTCCTTAGTTCACCCTCCACTGCCAGGTGAGAATGTCAACTTTAGACCCTGCTCATACACATCCACAAATGTATTAACAAATAATGTAATAGCTATTTTTCTAAGAATTGACTTGGGTGCATGGAATCATATGACATTCATATGAAGTTCCTTTTAGTGAGTGTGATGGAGACAGGAGCAGTATAGTAGCAAAAAAGTACCCAGCATGCAAAGATTCACTCTGCACACTCAAACAAACAAATTTTTATTATTATTTTATTTGTTTACTCATTGAACCCCCTAATGCCTCTAGAACACACAGGGACACATCAAGTGGGCGAATGTTCAAAAGGACAGTGTGTTCAACGGTTGCATGATCAAAGGGATGTGAACACAATGTACCTTTATCTTCATCAGCCATATTCTTCTTAACTCATTTAATAAGGATAGTGTACAATAGGATGCGTTATTTGAATTAGTCTTTTATATTGTACTTTTTAAACCTGGTAAATAAATCAGTTTTAATGCAATGTATTGACATTAACGTTTTTGTTTTGTACAGGCCAAAGCATTTCTTGGTTGTTCTAAAATTACGTTGTTCCCACATATAAATGATTAGTAAATTGAGTAAATGATTAAAAGAAACTGTATTTTATATACAGTGGTCCCAAAAAATATTTGGACGGACAGACAGACAGACAGACAGACAGACAGACAGACAGACAGACAGACAGACAGACAGACAGACAGACAGACAGACAGACAGACAGACAGACAGACAGACAGACAGACAGACAGACAGACAGACAGACAGACAGACAGACAGACAGACAGACAGACAGACAGACAGACAGACAGATAGATAGATAGATAGATAGATAGATAGATAGATAGATAGATAGATAGATAGATAGATAGATAGATAGATAGATAGATAGATAGATAGATAGATAGATAGATAGATAGATAGATAGATAGATAGATATATAGATAGATAGACAGATAGACAGATAGATAGACAGATAGACAGCCAGATAGACAGATAGACAGATAGACAGATAGACAGATAGATAGACAGACAGACAGACAGACAGACAGATAGACAGATAGACAGATAGATAGATAGATAGATAGATAGATAGATAGATAGATAGATAGATAGATAGATAGATAGATAGATAGATAGAAAGACAGGTAGACAGATAGACAGGTAGACAGACAGATAGATAGATAGATAGATAGATAGATAGATAGATAGATAGATAGATAGATAGATAGATAGATAGATAGATAGATAGATAGATAGATAGATAGATAGATAGATAGATAGATAGATAGATAGATAGATAGATAGATAGGTGGCAAATATACTGAATATGTTAAGTTAGAATTAAAAGTAAATAAGAAAATAATACAAATAAAAATAATATTCACATCATTTCACTGTTAGTATGAAGGTCGCCTCTGTTTGTTTGAGGCACTCTGCCTTCACTTCTTATCATGTCACATGACAAAGCAACACCACACATCACCCGTCCCTTACACACACACACACACACACACACACACACACACACACACACACACACACACACACACACACACACACACACACACATAAGTGATCATGATCACTGCTGCCTGTGAGCTGTAAGTAAATAATTTAGTAATGTAGGACCTTCCTAGATGATGACCTCAGGAAACCCGTCATTGTCATTTAAGGACAACTCTATGAATTCCAGCTAAATAATTCCGAAGCTAGATGGTTATAGGGACTGAAAACAGCTCATTTGATTGGTTCATTGATCCAGGGAGGCCCACGCCCACCAGACCTGCTTATTCTTCTTAATTAATTCCCATCACTTCTGGCAATGCAGGCACACACACAGACACACACACTCAAATGTTTCATGTTTCTCTTGCTCACTGTGATCTGAACTCTGTTAGTTCAGTCTGTCACATTGGCTGGCAGGAACAAACTCTGTTAGTAGTGTCTGGAGGTGACATGAGGTGACAGATGAGGGTCAGACACACACATACACCCTGAATCTTAGCTTCCAGTTCCACTGCACTTACACACTACAATCAGACGCGTGCATAAACAAAAAGCACAGAAATCACGGCTCAGAGTATCTTGACTGAAGACCTCTTCCCTTCAGGACATGCTAACACTGATCCAAATTCAGTATTAGAATGACTACCAGACCAATCGGACCCAGCTCTCTTTTTTTTTTATCTAAATAATTGATTGATGTAAATATTTTTGAAAAGCTACAATCTTTCTTTAGCAGTCTCACACTGAAAATGTTCTTAAAATATAATAAAATGATGTAATTAAATGTACTATTTATTATTATTTTTATGTCGAGGTTACAACATTAATGGGTTACTTCAAGTAAATAATTTAGAAGAACAAAAAGGAGAGAAAAAATTGGATCCCTAATTATGGGACTCTCTAAACATCTGGAGTGTAAAAGAGGATAGCTGATTAAAAAAACAATACTTGCAAATTTGCTTGTAACACAAAGGCAGTTTTATTCTGTTTATTTATATGTGCATGAATAATATGCCTAGAGAATGAAGGAGAAATTATCCCCCAGCATTGTCCTTTGGGGACATCACTGTTGCCATGGTTTCATCACGCACCTCTTGACCTTTGGCCTCTTTGACCCTGAGCTCATTCTGTGCCATAGGGGAAAAAATATTACTGAGATTAAGCGTAAAATTTATCATACACTTGAATTTATATTTTGTGCTGGACTGGGTGTGTCTGGGAACAATTTGCAGATTGTGTGTCCCATGAGGCCTTCTTTATTGTCCCATTTTTATGAGCGGTTCTGAAACACACACACACACACACACACACACACACACACAGGAAGGGGAGAGGGCAGCAGGTGCAGGGGGCTGGACTGACACATGATTGACAGGCGGATTGATTGCTTTTGAATGTCAGCTTGGATAATTATCAGAATCTGTCAGTAAGTGCCATACCGCTAAGGCAGCAAAGTGGTTTAACAAGATATCGTAGTGTTTTTTTTTTTTTTTTCTGCTTTCTTTGACACACTCCAGACTCTTGACAGACACAGACTTGGATATTAGCCTGAATTTCATTAATAAGTCATTTATAACAAGATCATCATAGAGCTCACGGCTGATCATTACCGTAATCCTCAGACCTGGAATTATGCGTTTCACTTTTAACACCAAAATGAATCTGTAATTTCAGTGATCAAACGACAAAACCACAATACATCAAACAACAGTCGTTATGCAAATTCCTTATTAACTCTTTCCCTGCTAGCGTTTTTGAAAAAGGTTTCCAGCCACCGCCAGGATTTTTTCAAGGCCCGCAGAACATTTATGAATATCTGAACATATGAATCAAAAGACAGAACAGACCCTCTAGAAGCTAGAATAAAACCTGTTTAATTATAGCTTCTTCTTTTTTTATCAACACTTGAATGTGGGTTTCATTTAAAAAGGCAACATTTTGAGCACAAAGCTGATAAAATCGCATTTTTGTCAAAGACTACGTCTGGATCGGATTCAGAAAGATGATCAAAACACAGATGGAGTAGATCGAGTTCATCAACACCCCCAAAGCTTCACAGTCCTATAGCTCGTCCTGGGTCCACATTTCATTCAGTATAACATTAGGCAGATTTGATTTATTTGCACAGCAACATACTAAAAACACTCTAAACATGTTAACATAAACCACCCAGAACAAACCACATATAGCAACACCCTTAGTAGCCACCCAGAACACCTTAGCATCCTGCCAAGAAAACATTCTGCATTTTTCCAATTAAATAAATACTGATTTTCAAATTAGGACAATCTCAAAAAGAGATTTTGGGAGGTTTTGTCAGATTTAGCTCACTTCTGGGTATACATTTGTATGTAGGTAGGGGTATGTATACTTATATACACACACACACACGCTCGCACACATCCATCCAAGTATGCAGACACACACCCTGCTGGCCAGCTGTTCACGGCAAGGGCGGCATAGATTAGCTTTGTCATATATCACTGTCTCTCTCTCTCTCTCTCTCTTTGTGTGTGTGTTAAGTGATAGACTGGGGTGGGACTCTTTACTTGGCTGGTGGTGACCCAATTTTAGCACAGAATGTCAAATAGCTGTCTTCAACAACGTCCAAAACATTTAGTTGCTAGCTTATGAACAACTGGGGGAAACTCTATGTACGAATGTATCTGTGGCAGAGACATGGCAGAGATACATGTCTTAAAATGCTGGGTTAAAAACAACCCAGTTTGAGTAATTTTGGCAACCCAGGACTGGGTTAAACAAGCTCAGTGCTGGGTGGGTTAAATGTTTGAAAGTCGGGAATAAACCGCATGACGTGCATGCCTTTTTCACATCCATATTTCCAACCCAGCACCATTGGGTTACTGATGATGAACAATTATCAACTCAAATTGGATCACATCAACCCAGCTTCCTTATTTATCTTTGTTTCAATATGTTGTTGCTTATCTTCTTTGTAGGTGACTTGCTTACAAGATTTCTTTGGTGATGACGACGTTTTCATTGCCTGTGGACCAGAAAAATTCCGCTATGCACAAGATGACTTCTCTCTGGATGAAAACGGTAGGTCACACCTTTTAATAAATAGGCCTAAGTGAGAAATCTAATATTGGTGATCAAATAAATTGGTTTTTTGTGTCCATTTTCACAGCTTAAAATAAATCTGCCCGTTTTTAATCTCTACATTTATAATTGTAACTCTTGTGTTCCTCTTGCATGTTCTTACAGCTAAGTCTGTTTTTTTTTGTTTTTGTTTTTAGAGTACAGATTCTCAAAGATAAATGTTACATTTTTCCCAGACAGCAACATAGTGTCGGCCCAGATCCGGCCCACATCTGGCACACGTGGATTCCACTGGGCCGACACTATGTTGCTGTCTGGGTTACTATGTAGAATGAGGTGTTGGGTATCCACCATGTAACATAATTGTCTTGCAACTAACCCAACTCTGAACAAAACTAACTTCTTTAATTAAAAAAATCTATTAGTAAGAACATGAAGAAACTTCTGTGGTTAACATTATTCCCATTTCAGACCAAACAGAGAAAGTTCTCTAATTCAAACACATATCTACAGTAGTAAAATTAATCATTCTATTTTTAGTCCCTTTTTTTATCAGTAAAGCCTTTGATTCGGCTGATCACAATATTTTCATCCAGACTGGTTAAGTTTTTCAAGTTATTTTTTTTTACTTGAAGACTAGACTGACATATCTAACATAATTTTGTACACTAATACCTTTGCTATTTTTTCTATTGCCGCAGAAGCAGCTCAGTTTAGTCAAGTCAGTGTGACATCTGTATAATCTCAGTAACACTTTCAGTCTGTGTGTGTGTGTGTGTTTTAGAGACGGTAGTGAGAGCAGGAGGAAGCTGCATGCTATTGGATGTCGTTCATTTAGCCTCTCAGAATCAGGCTTTCAAATGGCTTAATGCATTATTCAGATTCACATTTGCATATGTAAATAGCCAACGTGCGACTCACATGGGTGTAATAAGGTTCTCTGTTTCTCTTGCCGTAGAGTGTCGGGTAATGAAGGCCCCTAAAGGACAGAGGGGCTCCAAGAGTCCCGGCCCAATGCGACGCTGCAAGTCTCCGGCTGATTCCAGTGAGCCTATAATTATGTGATTCATGTCAGCTCAACACACCTTTAACTCCACACTGAAGCTTTACTAACTCTAGTCAATTCCACATCAAGCTAAAGCATCACAATTTATTGCATGGATGATTGGCAAGCTTTCTACAATAATACACTTTATTTTCTTCTGAACTGCTTTGTCCATTATATTATATTAACATGTTTATTTTTGCTTACACCGTTAAATTATGCATGATTATGAATCATCTGTTATTTTGATTTTGATGAGATTTTGAACACCTTGTCACTTTAATTTGGTTTTTGTTTATCTGTCATAATCTCGCAATTGCTCATGTTTGTGTGTGTTCTTGCAACGGCCTGTGCAATTAACCTTCTGTGTGCATAAATGGTTAATACTGTCAGAATGATTTAAATATATGTCATACATGCATAGCTACTAAAGTAAATAAACAGATTATTGATGGTTAAACCTCAAAGACCCACTGCAACAAAACTGAAACAGCTGTTTAAAGCAGTTAATAATGAATTAATGAATACCTTTTTTAATTAAATGTACAGTATGTTACAACTACTTACAAAAGCAACTCACACAGCAGTTTTTAATCCAATTCGATTTCTTTTCACAATTTGTTCAGTTAAAAAATTCACATGTATATATATTTTAAATATTTGTCATCATAGTCTAATGAAACTTTAAAGAGTGCTCTGAAATGAACGTACTGAAGTTCTAGCTCACTGGGAAGGTCTTTGTAAAAGTCAAAGCAACTGCACTGAAGTCCTCTTTTGCTTTTTCAGCTATTATATCAGGGATCTGTATGCTATATGAATATTCCAGCATCATAACACTTCAGAGAATATCAGAGAACTGCTCTGAACATATCCGAATTTCAGACTCTTTGCATGCTGAGAAAGTTTCTCACAAAGACAAAAAATCACCAAAAATAACTAAATATGCACAAACATCATGCTTCTTATTACGAAGGAAGGAAGGAAGGAAGGAAGGGTTTGTGTTTAAAGAAGGAAGGAAGGAAGGAAGGGTTTGTGTCTAAAGAAGGAAGGAAGGAAGGAAGGAAGGAAGGGTTTGTGTCGAAAGAAGGAAGGAAGGAAGGAAGGAAGGTAGGTAGGGTTTGTGTCGAAAGAAGGAAGGAAGGAATGAAGGGAGGAAGGAAGGAAGGAGGGAAGGAAGGGTTTGTGTCTAAGGGAGGAAGGAAGGAAGGGTTTGTGTCGAAAGAAGGAAGGAAGGAAGGAAGGGAGGAAGGAAGGAAGGGTTTGTGTCGAAAGAAGGAAGGGAGGAAGGAAGGGAGGAAGGAAGGAAGGGTTTGTGTCGAAAGAAGGAAGGAAGGAAGGAAGGAAGGGAGGAAGGAAGGAAGGAGGGAAGGGTTTGTGTCTAAGGGAGGAAGGAAGGAAGGAAGGAAGGGTTTGTGTCGAAAGAAGGAAGGAAGGAAGGAAGGAAGGAAGGAAGGAAGGAAGGAAGGAAGGAAGGAAGGAAGGAAGGAAGGAAGGAAGGAAGGAAGGCAGGAAGGAAGGAAGGAAGGAAGGGTTTGTGTCTAAAGAAGGAAGGAAGGAAGGGTTTGTGTCTAAAGAAGGAAGGAAGGAAGGGTTTGTGTCTAAAGAAGGAAGGAAGGAAGGAAGGAAGGAAGGAAGGAAGGAAGGAAGGAAGGAAGGAAGGAAGGAAGGAAGGAAGGAAGGAAGGAAGGAAGGAAGGGTTTTGTGTCTCAGGAAGGAAGGAAGGAAGGTTTTGTGTCTCTGAGGATTAAAAGATGAAGAGAGAGGACGCCTGTCACACAACTTTGAGTTTGATGTAAGCAGATAGATTTGCACTGTTACATGTTTAATATTTTAGATAGGAAGGATCACTCAATCTTCCGTGGGAGACTGAAGTCTGGGGACACTTTTTAATCTGAGGATGAGGGCAAAAAGGCCATGCTTGCTTACTAGAGGATCAAGTCTAATAAACAAAAGAGTTTAGGTTATAAGCAGATGTGCCCATCAACAGTGCTGTCATATGAGGTCAAATGTAAGCATTATTACTTTGGCAGGGTTACATGCAGAGGTGGTGGCTGGGAAAGAGATGAGATTTTAGTGATAGGAGGGAAAGGAAGCATTAATATGTCCTTGTTGACCTTTCCACAGTCAGCAGAGTCATGATATGACTGCCATCTTGTGGTGGCAGAACCTCATTTAGTTAAAGGGATAGTTCACACAAACATGAAAATGATGTCATCATTTACTCACCCTCAAGTTGTTCCAAACCTGTATGAATTTCTTTCTTCTGCTGAACACAAAAGAAGAATGTCGGTTGATAGGCCCCATCTCCATACTATGGAAGTCAAAGGCGTCCATCAACTGTTTGGTTACCGACATTCTTCAAAATATATTATTTTGTGTTCAGCAGAAGAAAGTGATTGCCCCTGCAGACAAAATGCGTCATTAAAATGTTGGTTCTGTGTTCTGGAAGAAGAAAAATGTATAAATATAGGTCTATTTGCTAACATTACTTTATTTTTTGGTGTACACTATTATATACAGTAGATAACCTCAAACCTAAAAGCCAGACATGGACTCAAAGCCATAAAACAAATTTTGATTTTCATGAGGTCTTTAATATGAAGAATATTTGTTTCACGAAAAAAGACTAGCTCATTTGTGCATGCTAACTTTTCTTGCATGGCCTGTGTGCTTTAAATCAGTGTATCTGTATCACTGTGCACACTCACTGGTGGCTGGACTAATGTTTTTTTTTTAATTATTATTCCTTTTCATGTTTCTTTATATCTCTCCCTCTTGTTTTAAAGCCCACATTGTACGTTTTGTATTGAACTGCTCTCCTTTTGAAATAAATGAACAAGGACATTTCAAGCATTTTATATTTGTTTTTTTTTTTGTTTTTTGTTTTTTTTTGTTTACCAGCATCAGTTCTGTTTTATACATCCATTTAGTTCTCTATTATTCAGATTCTCTTTCATTCCATATTTTACACCATTATTTGGGTTCAGAGTTTTAGGTTCAGCTTATTAATTTCAGCAAGGAAACCCTCTCTTCTTCTTTTAGCAGTTTACACTGTAACATCCAAAAGTTGGCAAAAAAAAAATGTAGGCAATCAGTTACATCAAATTTTTTTAAGTTAAGAAATTCAAAGTTAAAGTAAGCAAAACTGGCAGATTTTTATTTTGTACTGTCAATTTTAATTGCTCTTAACTTGAAATAGTTGCATAAGCTAACTCTTAAATTTCACTTAAAATTAACCATTTTTTAATTCTTAAATATTTTTTTAGAAATGGAAACTTGCTAATTCAGTAAATGCTAATGCTTTGAACGAGTAAGACAATATAGAACATGTAACATGTATCTGTTCTCAAACCGAGCTCATGCTCCACTCATCACCCCCCAAAAAAGAAACTCTTCTAAATTAGCATAGCAAAACATTAAACACTAATCTTACACTTAACATTAATCTTGCACAAAAAAAACCCTAAAAACATTAACTAACACTTAATTTTAGCATTTACTCTCACATTCGAGTGTCATGGCAAAGCATTGTGGGAAATAGAAATCCCAGCCCAAATTCGGTTAAATTGAAGTTTGTTTAAATTAACAGAAACAAGTTAATAAAACTCAAAACAGTAAAGCCATTCATATTACTTAAAATGTGTAAGTTTTGTGAACTCAAAAGATAAAGAAAGTTCTACATACTCTTAAAAGTTAATTTGATTGAACTAATTTGTTCAATTTAACTTTATCCTATGCTCAAACCAATCAATTATTCTGAGCATAAGGGTTTACAGTCTTGAATTATATTGTAGGCTCTTCATATTCTTTAATCTTTAGCATCGAAAGCCTAGGGGCAAGCTATTGTACCTAGCGTAAAGTGTGACCCAAAAAAACTTTGTATGGACCTATTTGCTTTTTTAGGAGTGTAAACCAATCATGAACACACAGCAAGGCTAACTTAGAGAAAATCTGCATTTAATTAGCACATGAAAGGCTAAGATCAGCACCTTTTTTTTTTACATATCTCCTTATCCAGGTCTTCCAACAGCGCCTGGCTTTTCATCTGAGATTCTGTTCTCTTTGTTTTATTTATTCATTAGCTGGAGCGGTTTTAAGGCCTGGCGTCTGGTCCTTAGGTTTTTGTGCTGCTTAAAAGAAAGCCTTTAGTACATTAGTACACACACGATCACACCACTCTCACATATAAACACAGCTCTGGTGTCTCATAGCAACCTGCTCTATTCGTAGAGAGATGTGTAAATGAGTTCCAGCAAACAGATACACACACTAGCAGCTGGCTAGACGACAGTTGACAACATGATTACACAGAAAGGAGGGAAGACACTGCCTAACCCCACAATTTGTCTTTTCTTTTCCCTTAATCTTTCTGTCTGTGGCTCTCCTTCTATCCCTCTCTTTCACATTTGCACTTTGTATTTCGCTCTCTAGCTAACGGAACAGGCTCCAGTAGTCAGCTCTCTACGCCCATCTCTAAGCAGTCGCCCATCTCGACCCCGACTAGCCCCGGCAGCACTCGCAAACAAAAGGTAATGTTCTGTCAGTTCCTCTATCTACCACCTAAACTATTCCTTCGGATCTCTTTTCTGAATATGTTTGGAATGGCATGTTACCATACTGTTGTTCATTTTCTTTCAGTATGCATGCAGTATGTTAACTTTGAACAAAAATGAGCACACTGCATGTAATACTGAATTCCACAATGCAACGCGTTCCACTTAACTTCCAATTGTACAGTAGGCAGAAGTATGCTAGTATTTCATTGCAAACACAGCCATACTGTTAGGGCCAGATTTACTTACAGCTTGTGCCAGCGCAAACTACTGTCAGGGTTTACTAAAGACATGCAGTGAACGTCTTGCATTTGCATTTGTAGGAGTTTCCCTTTCATGTGTTTCACAAATTTATGGGAGGAGAGTATTTGGTTACACTTTATTTCGATAGTCCACTATAAACATTCTACTAACTAAGTAACTTTGCAACTACATGTCAACTTATTCTACTACTGTAATAACCCTAACCTAACAGTCTACTAATACTCTAATGAGAGTTAGTTGGCATGTACAGCAGTTGCAAGGTGAACGCCATTTCACCAAGTACAACATCAACATCTTTGTTGATCCTGGAATGACATTTGAATCAACCAATCAGATTTGAGATTAGATTCAAGTTTAGTTTATGTCAAGTTTAGGGTTGGGTGCTTCTACATCAGTGTTATTCACCTCATATCATATCCCTCTGATTTTAGGGATAACTTATGGGTAGGGTTCGGTTTAGGGACAGGAATATGGTTAGGACTAAAGTTTTGGACAGGAATGTAGTTTCAGGATCAACAAAATATGTTGACCCAGGAACATGTCTTACTTGGCAAAATCACAGTGACCATAGTGGCAAATTAATGAGAGTTAGTTGATCTGTATTGCAAAATGACTTATAGGTAGTAGAATTTCTAAAGTGGACTACTGAAATAAAGCGTAACACAGTATTTAAATAAATACTGAAACGTGAGGATGGTTGCACCATTATTTAACGCACAAAAAAGAATGAACCCATTTTGCGATCGACGGGAACTGCAGAGAACAGTGAGAGCGTGATGGAAGGGAGACAAAATGTAACTTTGCCAACTGTCGCCTGCGCCTGTGATGTTAGATTACCCGCACCTGATTCTCATCGGCTCTGCTGGTTTGCGACCCGCTAATTTGTGTTCTTTAATTTGTGCATTATCTGGGCAATTCCCACTCCAATCTGCGCTTTTATGGGATTGCGGCCTCACGCCAATTTGCTCTGTTTAGTAAATCTGGCTCTTAATTATGATGTGAACATAATTCACCATGACTTACCCTATACCCTCTTTTCATCTCTAGGATCTATACTTGCCTCTGTCTCTTGAAGATGAAGATTCACAGGGGGAGTCCATGTAGACTCTTTCCGCTCCGCACGCCGATCAACATGCCAGTAACAGAGGCATCTCCGGTGCTATCTGTCTTGGAAACATCAACATCACCATCACCGCCCTAGTTGCCAGGGTGAATGCACGCATCACCTTTGCTGCCCCTTGGCCGTCAGGCTTTAGACCTCGAGGCTTTTCAGCGATGGTCAGTGCACTATTTGCTGCTTGAGAATTTGTTGCATCCATTTTCTGTGTTTTGATAATAGATTTGTAGTGAGTGATGAAAATGTTAAGTATATGCGGGGCATATGCTGCAGTTTTCACTTGTATTATAACAACAAACACCCAAATTTGTACATGTGGTCTGCTGTGGGAATTCATTTTATATATATGAGAAATTTGAGAAACTTAAGTGTTAACACACAGCAGGTCGGTTTAGCTCTTTAAACATCCAACCATCATTTTTTAAACCAATAGTTTTGACTTTTTCATACTGACTTTTTTAAAAGCTTGGTCTTATGAATTTCAAGCAGCAAATAGTCATTTTTACAAGGGTGTAATAGTCTGACTTGTACAAGACAAAAAAGACCAAAAAAAAATGTAAAAGAAAAAAAAACGGAAAAAAAACTGGTTGCACCATTAATAATTTTTATTAATCTCTTTTTGTAACCCTCTCTCTCTCTCTCTCTCTCTGTGCAATGGTTTAGTGTGTTTTAAAGCCCATGAAGTTGAAATAGAGCCCGCAGAAAAGACTCTATTCATATCACTGTAAATAATGTGTACAGCCTACTCTAAGACACCAACATCAATGTTTTTGCATTGTTGCGATGACTTTAAAACATAGATATAATGTTAAATGACAATAGCTCTGGAGGTACTCATTGAAAATTGAGAGGGGGCCATATAACAAGGTCTATTTGCTTTCAAAAACAATCACATTCAGTTTTAAAAAGGTAAAAGTTTAGGTAATAACAGGAGCAGATTTCTGTTCAAATGGATTGGATTAAAGGAATAGGAAATTAAAACCAGTAGGACTTATGAAAAGATTGTCCAGTCCAGTTTTCTAAAGCGCTATGATTGCTCTATGTGAGGAACTGACCATTAAAGTCCTTATTCACTGAAACCTTGCTCTCCACTGCAGCTCTTAAATGTCATTCACAAGAAAATGCTGATGCAAGATTTCATGCCATTGTTTGTCATTTGTGTTATATCCAGTTGTGACGCATCAAGTTTGAAAACGATGAATATGCGGGGAATTTTCAGTGAATAATGATTTTTTTTCTCACACAAAGCTATTGTAAGTCATATGAACCATTTCATGGTGCTTATTTGAAGCTCCAAATAGCCTTGTGGTATGAAAAAGAGAAGCATGAACATTCTTCCAAATTAATACTTTGTCCAAGATAAAATGTCATACAGGTTTAGAGCGACAAAATGATGAGCATTTCCATTTTTGGATGACTATTCCTTTTGAAATTGAGTTTGAACGTGTCTTTTAAGGTACAGTGTCCTTTTTTTTAGAAAGCCAAAGTTATGTTGAAAAGAGGGAAGCTGAAAAATAATATTTTCTCTGAAGCTGAACAAGAACATCACACCTGAACATTTACATATTAGAAAACCAAATACATACAATATGATGATGGAATTCAGTGTATGATAGCAAATTGCATTCATTTCTCAATCACAACATCAAAGCGATTGATAGCAAGTGATATCTGTTGATCAACTCTTTGACAGACAAAAAAAAAACCTAGCACAACAAAACTGCACAAATCAGACAAACCCTTTGATGATCCTTTTTAAAATATATAATTTCCATTCAAGTGTCTCAAGATGATTTTTCACCTTCCATGGTGCCTTTTATACACCATCCTCTATGAAAAAACGCAAAACAAACAAAAAAAATTGACAAGAAAACGATAAACACTCATCTGTCAGTTGTTTACTGTATCTTTATGAAATGTTTGATATGAAGTGGGGCTCAAACACTAACTATAACTACATCCTCTGTAATCTGTTACTGTAGTAGTTTATCAGGGTAATTCTTCAGACATGGTGCAGATGCTCTCTTTTCTCCGATAGTGCTGTAAACACAGTTGCTTGTGTACTGATATTTTTGGGCTTGGGGACATAAAAAAAAAAAAACTCAGACTTCCTCTCTGATTATCATGTACTTCCTGCTGTATCATCGTGACTTGTTTTGGTGATGTCATTCTGTGTATTAAACTTCTCTCTTTACTATTAAAATGAGACGCTCTTCTGCTCCTGTTTTGACTGCAGTAATGCTCATGAATGTCTTCGTTGTTGGTTTGTTATTGTCTGTTGGTATTTTTTTGTTCAGTGAATTCTAAGCACATGACCTACATTCATGGCCTAATTTTTTCGCTTGTCCTTGCCTAATAAAAGGGGTCATGAACTGAGAAAACCAATTTTCCCTGATCTTTTGTCATTGGACTATAAATAGCTACATACAGTAAGTTTCCGAACTGAAAATTTCCGTAAACAGCTCTTATTGAAACCAGCACAACGACAGCACAACACAGCCTGCAGTCAGACACAGATATAACACCTACTTCTTCAACATTGCCTCTTAGTAAAGTGATATGGAGAGACTGAGAGACACTAGAATCACTTGACTAAAAATAAAATTACCTTGGTTTTTTTATTTTCTAGTATGTGAATGTCTCAGTAGAGCATTCGACACAGGCTGTGCAAAAAGACTTTTCGGCAGTTAACACGGCAGTTCACTTGTATCAGCTACTATGAATAGAAAAACCAATTCGAACAATATGGCAGAAAACAGTCCTGCCTTCTAAATAAAGGAGCCATTTGCCAATTGGTCGCGTCATCGCGTCACTGCAGCTGCCGTTAGAAGCTCCGGTTACCATAGAAACAGCCCGGTCCTGTCCACAGTGGCTGGACCAACTTACCCATATTTCCTGCTTTTCAACGCATGAAATTCAAGAACTGACTGTTCACTTGTTGCCTAATATAGTGCCCTCCACAATTTTTGGCACCCCTGTTTAAGATGTGGTCGTGGACTTCTAAAAATTCTCTTTTTTTTTTAAACAACATAGAACCCAAATGCAAAAAAGAGAAAAATCCAACCTTTCATTTAAAGGGATAGTTCACTTTGGAATTAATTTTTGGTATGTTTTAGCTTACCTCAAGGGCATCCAAGATGTAGGTGTCTTTGTTTCCGCAGTAGTTTCAATTTTGATATTTTTAGGTCAAACCGTTCTTGTCTGTCAGTCATATAATGCAGGTCTATGGTAACTTCCTCAAAGAGCATGCACAGAGAAGTCCAAATTAAACATGATTTAATGACTCGTAAATGTAAGTACACATTGATGGCCTAAGACACAAAACGAGCGGTTTGTGTGAGAAAACGAACAGTATTTATATCGTTTTTACCTCTTGTAAAACACAGCCACGTCCAAGTGATCTGATGGCGCCGGCGCTTCGGTCTTTTCCGGAAAGCGCCGGAAGTTATCTCTCGCGCGTGTACGTCACTCATACAATTGTTTTATTTTTGTATTGTTTTTATTGTTTTCTTTTACGACGGTTTAAACATCCCGGATAAGCGCAAATTAGGACCATTTTAATTAGCCGTCTTACCTACAATCTCTGTTCTGTGTAAACAATGAGTGACGTACACGCGCGAGAGATCACTTCCGGTGCTTTCCGGAAAAGACCGAAGCGCCCGCGCCCTCAGATCACTTGGACGTGGCTATGTTCACAAGAGGTAAAAACGATATAAATACTGTTCATTTTCTCACACAAACCACTCGTTTCGTGTCTTAGGCCATCAATGTGTACTTACATTTACGAGTCATTAAATCATGTTTAATTTGGACTTCTCTGTGCATGCTCTTTGAGGTGGTGACCATAGACCTGCATTAGATGACTGACAGACAAGAACGGTTTGACCTAAAAATATCAAAATTAAACTACTGCGGAAACAAAGACACCTACATCTTGGATGCCCTTGAGGTAAGCTAAAACATACCAAAAATTTATTTCAAAGTGAACTATCCCTTTAAGTACATTACTTTGGTGGTAAAAAAAAAAAAAATCACACATTTAGACAAAAAAAAAAAAACTTGAAATCATGTGTCCCACAATTATTGGCACCCCTACCAATTCCGTGGAAAAATTTAATAGATTTTTTTTTTAAATATATTTTTCTGTAGTTGCTAAAGTTGGTTAGGGTATCTTGGAACTTTTAATTAGTAATTCATGACTTCCTGTTTCCCTGGGGTATAAATATGATGTGACACAAAGGCCTAATTCTCTTACCCATTTGTCAACATTGCAAAAACAAGAGAACACACCATTCAAGTAAGGCAGATGTGTGTCGACCTTCATAAGTCAGGCAATGGCTACAAGAAAATAGTCACTCGCCTTAACTTGCCCGTATCTACAGTCAGAGGAATCATTAAGAAGTTTAAAACAACTGGAACAGTGACAAACAAGGCTGGAGGAGGTCCCAAGTTTATCTTGCCACAACGCACAGTGAGGAGGATGGTAAGAGAAGTAAAAAAAGTCCTAAGCTCACTGTCACAGAATTGCATCAAAGAGTGGCATCTTGGGGTCACAAAGTCTCCAAAACAACCATCAGACGCTCTCTACATGCCAACAAGCTGTTTGGGAGGCATGCAAGGAAAAAGCCTTTTCTCACTAACACTCACAAACGTAAACGTCTGGAGTTTGCTAAGCAGCACTGGGACTTCAACTGGGATCGTGTGCTTTGGTCAGACGAGACAGGGCTGTTTACACCTGGCCACTTCATGCGATTTCTGTGATCGGATAGCTATCCGATCGTGAAAAGACCAGGTGTAAATGCCCTCCGAAACGCATTCGAGACGGATTTGAATCCGATCGCTCAAACCACTTCAGGAGGTGGTCTGGGCCGCATTTCAGACGAAACTGGACAAGTGTAAATGCATCTGGTTGTTGAAACCACATATGTATATTTTACTCCTCCCAAAAATGCTAAAAAATAAACGTGTGAGAGCGTGCTATGTCATGTTATAGTCAGATATGACGACGCTACTGCAACACGCAACACCTCAGAT